ACACATTAGAAGCCAGCTGATAAGAGGTAAAAGCAAATTTCTTCATGAAAGGATTCTCTGTATATACAAGGCTTTGATGTAGTGGCTTAGTGCAGACCTACATTCTTGGTCTAAAAGATGCCATATCTTTGTTTCAGATTTACCTAAGTTTCATCTAAACATCATGGGAGAGATTAAAGTCTCTCCTGACTATAACTGGTTCAGAAGTACAGTTCCTCTTAAAAAGGTATGTACCATTTATATCATTTGTTATGAAATAGAGCCTTATTTCACAAGGACCATGCTGTGCAATACTGAGAACTGTCTAAGCCAGTGGTCAGCAATGTTTTGGAGCTGTGGGCTGGAACAATCTGACTCCAGTTTGGATCCTGTCCACAGGCCCCTGCTCAGTGCATCTTTGCTGGAACTCCAGTGACTGCTTTACATAACTCGCAGTCTGGCATGTCTACTGACGTGACCCATGTTACCATCGTGCCTGGTTTGATGCTTTTATTTTTGACGCAACTCTTTTTGAAGTAGTCTCTACTGGGTTCCTGGTGCCATCTGAGCTTTGGCAGTCTGCTGGAGAGCTGTGCTTGTCAGCACTTGTGGCAGGTCATTTTTTTTTTTTCTGAAGTTAGGAATTGGCAGTGCAGTTTAGCTGCCTGCCCTGCATTGGTACTGCTGCTGCCACCTACAGCTCTGACTTCCATTACCATTGGTGTGGTGTGGTGTGGTGTGGTGTGGTTTGGTTTGGTTTGGTTTGTATATAGAGCTCTTCTCATCTTCATGGAATCCAGGCTGCTTCCTGGAGTCCCACCTGAGGAAGGATGCACTGGGGATGCTGAAGGAAGAAACTCTCTTTCTTCTATAATGACAGGCTCTTCTGATAGCTTCTGTTGTATCCAGCCACCTTCCTCTCTTGCTTAGGCTCTTCTCTGTAGGCTTGGTGAGGAACTAAAGTGTTTGGTGTGTGATGTTTGGTTATAACTTCTGCTGTGAGCTGCCAGTGTTGCAAAAGATTTGCAAAAAAGCACTGCTTTCCAGAAGGACTCTGAAGCCAGCTATGTATCTTGTGATGTAGAGATGAAAACACATGGTTTCTCCAAGTAAATGGTAGATAAATATATCCATAGCTCTCAAACTTGAAGGTGCAGCTTTGGAGGAGATGATGTCTGGTGAAGAGGGAGGAGGAAATATTTTCTTCCTGCCATCAGTGAAGCTTCTCCTCTCTTCACTATTGCATTGACTTTCACCATATCTAATTATGAAGAGCTTTGGGGGCCTGGGAACCCCAGAGACATCTTTGGGAGCAAGTGTCTTAGAGTGGTGTTTCTCAACCCATGGGTCACAACCCAAAAGTGGGTCCCAGGAATATGTGAAAGGGTTGTGCACAAACTTTAAAGATGGAGTCTCCTTTAAAGGAGAAAAATGTGGGAAACAGTAGCTTTTCCCTTGCAAGCTAGCAGAGTTCCAGCCTGCGAGGGGTTGCTTGCCTGCCCCCTCTTCCCCCAGTACATTGGGAGGCTGGAGGATAGCAGGTAGGGAGTGAGGGGCACTGGGTTGGGACTGGCCCTCATTTACAAATGGGTCCTGATACAAAAAAGGTTGAAAGGCATTGGATTAGAGATTCTAGGTTTGTCCTGCTTCGGTCGTGAGTTATCCCTGCTACCTGTACCCCCTGCCCCTACCGTGTAGCTGACTTCCTGCCCCTTGGGCAGGGGGCTGGATCTGATGATCTCTCAAGGTCCTTTCCAGCCCTAATGTCTATGAAATCATAACTGGATGGAGGCCTTCCTGAGAGAAGTGAGAAAAATAAATGTTTAAAGACAGAATTTTCATTCCCTCCCTGAGCTGCTGTTTGTAGCTGTGCTCCTGACTCTGGGATTACTAAAGAGCCCGGGGCACATTTATAAGTCCAGGACTGTTTGTTCTGGTATGCTGAATTCAAGCTTAGATAAACATTCTGCCTCTCTAATACCCACCATGTGGTCCCATGGGAGGATTCATTGTTCCCTTTCACTCTTTAACCCTGATGGGGCTTCTGGAGCAGACTGGTTCAGGCATTTCACCTGGCATGCAGCTGTCTTGGGGATGAGAAGTGATTCCTCCAGTTGGTTTCTAATCTACCAGAGAAAAGTGCCATGCAAGTCAAGCCCGCAATGTGTGCAGTGTGGGAGAGGGCGGCTCATGTCTAAAGCACAGGACAGAAGTTGAGAGCCCTTGCGTATGATCTAATCTGCAAGCACTTCCTGTGCAACTGTCATGTGAAATGCATGTCCCACAGCTTCCTTCAGTGTGAAGTGGGGCAGAGGGAGCTTGAGGCTATAAAGGGTTTCATGAGTGCTGAATGGGGGGAGGAGTGCAACAACTGCAGTGCACTGCTCAGGAGCAGTGAATATCACTGACCACCTTATGGTCAGGAAGCGTGTGCTGCTCGGAGCCATAGAATGAAATCCTGGCTCAGCTGAAATAATTCAGTGGAGTTTAGATTAACTCATAATATAAGCTTGCATCAGTTGAGCTTGTTATAAAGCAGTATGGGGAGAGGGGGTGGAGATTTTTTGGCAGGTATTACACAAATCAGTCCCATATCCTCCCAGAGTGCCACCTTCATCCCCTCCCCCTGCCCAGTTTGCTGCTCTGCTTTCTGCTCCCTATGCTGCCTGCTGCTATGTCGGCTGTCCCTTCTGTGGTCTGCTGTGTCACAAACTGAGGCTGCCCTTTCCACTTGTGGCACGTGCTGCAGGTTGGCCACCTTTGGTATAAGGGAACCAAAGAAGGCAGTGACCTATCTGAATTTGCAGCTACCCCAAGTGATTTTTTTTAGTTGTTTGATGCTTACTGCAGTTTCAAAAGACTAACCCAGTAGGTCTCAACCGGGTGCCATGAGGCCCCCTCAGGTGCTGCAGCAACAGTAGGCAGGTAGAATTGCCCCGTGCGCAGGGCTGCAGCTTGCAGACACTCCCGCTGCATTAGGGCTCTGGTAACCCTAAAGCAGCTTGGACTGTAGCCTTTCCAAACTCCCGCAAATAGACGTACGTGGGGTAATTTTACCTGGAGGCAACATCACCCAGTTGAGAAGCCCTGGGGTAAACTGAGGCAGCACCAACAGTTAGTTGTTCTTAATTGGGAGTGTTGCCACCTCCAAAAAAAAGTGATGGAGAGGTCCTGTCTGGGACTCTGCAAAAGCTGAGAACCACTGGACTATGCAGTAAAGCTGTGTTATATGGCTATTTTCAGGTGGGACAAGTTCGTGGTGCCCTGCATGCTCCATATTCATTGTCTGGTGGTGAGGAAAATAACTTAATTTCTGGCCTTCCATTTCCTTCCCACTTGTACTCGGCCTTAATTCTCTCTTAAACACTTGCTGGTATCCTAGAATAAAGTGCTCAGGACAAGTTATTGTTATTCTTTTTAGGATTAAAGCTAGGCTCCTGTTTCAGATGCAGATGGCCGCAATGAATAGATTCAAGTCATAATCTTACAGAGCAGCTGTGAATTGCAAGTTGAATTGTAGACGCGCAAGTCTGTCTGTGACTCCAAGTGCTCTGAAGTCTTGGCCCTAAGCCATGTCTAAACTGTTTTGGAAATGTGAGAGTCCCATGTTAGCAGCAATTTTTGTGACATGTCCTCTGAGCCTTATGCTGAGCAGACTTGCAGTGAGCCAGGTAGATCTAGGGATTTGTGATCTGCTGTTCTCCAGGAATCAAGAGAAGGGCTGCTTATAGACAATGGTTCAAAGTTGGAATATATCAGATTCTGGGGTGGGCCTGCTGTGGTATGGGGTAGGTGTTATCTAGGAGTTTCCATGGTTAGTTTGGCCTGTGGTCGGGTACCAAAGGTGAGCCTTGTAACAGTAAAGGAGACTCCTAAGCATCAAGTGGTACATCTGAAAAGCAAACACTGTAAATGTGAAGTACTTCTCAGCAACAGGAGAGACTGGGAATTTTCAAACTCCTGTTTTTCAAAGGTACCATTCACTCAGCACCCTCATTCCCATGACTTGACTTCCTAGCATCAGACAGACCTTACATGAAGCTCGCGTGCAGCAGTTCTGACGGTGGAGAGCAGATCTTGTCCTCCCCTTGAATGTTGCAGTGAATGCCTCCTTCACAGCAGAAACTCCTGCCGTCCCACTGCAGCTTGGTGGTGCTGCTTTGAGTAAGCTCTGTATAGCATCCCTCTTCTGATAGGACCTGGTTGTTTCAAATTAGTGATCTGTAGTTGGTCTGCTCCATCCACTATCCCTGACTACCCTCCAGATCTGTGAGTGGCAAAGGTGTTTGTGGGTGATATCTCTTATTGGGCTAACTGCATGGTTAGGACCAAGTCGGTCCTGCAGAAATCTGGATCTGCTCCCACAGCCCTATGTTGGTGCCAAGAAATGAAGCTGTCCTCCAGTCATTCAGAGGGTGATTTTTACCAGTCTGTAGCTATTACACTTGATATTCCAGCTACTCCCTGGATAGTTAGTCTAGATTTTGGAAGCCATGTTCCTTCTTGGCCAAGCATGCTCTGTCTGGTAGTGGTACACTACTTCCTGAGATCCTGGCTTGTTTGTACACAATCTTGCTGCTCCTTTGACTTTGATCTGTGTAAATTTTCACATTTTGATTTAATCTATTCAGTAGATTATGTTTTTGTTATGTGTTTATGTAACTCTTATGTCTGAGAGAGAAAAAAAAAATCCTTCCTGGAGCAATTTGTGAAGGACAGTCTCATTCCTAAGCCACTATGACTTCTTTCTGGTAACTGTGAACTGAAATCCTTTGCTGCAGTGAGGACTTCCACAAACCACTATCTATTATAGTTATATGACCTCTGAGCAGAGTGGCTTTAGATACCTGGTCAGCACAGAAAGCAGCTGGTTACGTGGTTTTGCCACAGCAGTTCTGCGTCTAGGCATGTTCGGCAGGCAGTGTAAATACCACATATAATAGGATGGAGTAAAAGTTATTGTGAAGAGAAACAAAGGGGTGGGGGGGTACCTTAAAAAAAAATCTTATGCACTATAGTATGAGAGCCAGACACCTGAAACCTATGTAGAACATAGCTGTAGACAAACCAATCCCAAGGAATAATTGGCTTCATAACTCCTTTTAAAATGCTCTTCTTTTCCCAGATCATAGTAGATGATGATGACAGCAAAGTTTGGTCATTATATGATGCAGGACCCAAGAGCATCCGATGCCCCCTCATATTTCTTCCACCTGTAAGTGGAACTGCAGATGTGTTTTTCCAGCAGATCTTGGCCCTGACTGGATGGGGTTACAGAGTTATTGCTGTGAGTATTCTCAGTGCAACCTCCAACATCCTGTGTGGATTTATTTTTGTTACTGTAAATACAGTCAGTTCAGCGGCATCATAATGGTCTGTTCAGTTTTTACAACGAAATCACAGAACAGCTATGCTAAGGCATGTTCCAGGGGTACAGAACATGCAAAACTGAGCCCTGGCATACTGTGCATTTACAAAGGGAGTACATAAAACACTTTTACAGATGCTCTTTGACTTCATATATTTTTTCCCCTCTATGCTTTGAACACCTGGAGTTCTGGATGATCTTGAGATCACATGCATTTCTTAAGATTTATTGCTAGGGGGATTTTAAAGCAGCTGCTAGCATTCTTTGCAGTACAATAGCTACTTGCTCTGTCTCCAGGTCTACAATACAGGAAAACAATCATAGTAGTTGTCTTCTCTGGAAGGCAGCTGTAGCATGGTGCAACTTAACACCTATTTATCCACTACGTTTTAAGAAGCTTTGCCTGGTATCTCTTTGCTAATGAGTAACCTAACATGTAACTGCTTATGTGACTTATTCCTAGTGGAGCAATGGGTTGGGACCCTACCTTGAACATCATGGCAGAACCATCATTTTTTTTTTTTTTGACTGCTTCTGTCTTGGTTCCTCTATCTTTAAATGGCTGCTTCCACTATAATTCCTATCTTTAGCTCCTCACAAAGTCAGGCAGTGCTCGCTGCTTTTGTAAATAAGAATGCGTTTATATGCAACAAATTCTGACAAGTCAATGAGGTCTGATACTGGTCAGTCTTGTCTCTTCCAGCCATAACCCATATCTGATGCTCCAGAAAGAGACTACTTAGTATGCTTCTCTTCTCCAAAGCAGCTATGCTGTGTATTTGCGGAGGGGGTGTCATCCTTTATCTTGCAGATAATTTGTAGCTTGCATAGCTGCAAATATTAGGTTACAGTCCTTTGAATCTACTTAAAAGATTGTCTTGAAGTCTGTCTCTGTTGCAGCGAATTCAGCATGTGGTGATCCAAACTTCTTAGTGAAAGCTTAGGTTATGCAAATAGAGTAGTTCCAAATCGCTCCATCTTTTTGTGCTGGCTAATGGTTTTATTTGTGCCACTTTTGCGCAACATAATGAGGGGATTTTGCTCTTTATCCAGTAATCATGCTATTCAGTACCATGTCTAGGTTCTTTGTTTTTGCTGAAAGTCCAAGCTAATGTGTAAGACTTTTTCTGAACAGACAGGAGCTATGAGAAAGGCTGATGAAAGAACACCTTCATTCCCTTACTAATCACTGTATTAATTTTATCCTCATACTCTAGTTGCAGTATCCAGTGTATTGGGACCACCTTGAGTTCTGCGATGGATTCAGAAAACTGCTAGACCACCTGCAGCTGGATAAAGTTCGTACCCTGAGATTAGCAACTAATGTGTGGTTACAAATGTTCAGTAAAAAAGCCTGGCGTTTATTAAGAACTACTAAGCAAAAATTCTCTTAGGACTGTGATGCAAGCTTTTTTTTCTTAAACAAGACATTCAAAACTAGGAACGCTGTCTAAAACCTCTAACTTTGCCCAAGTTGATCCCTGTTTTCTGGTGTACCTCATATCTTGGTTAATTAAGTTTTTTGTTAACTATGAAGGTTAATCTTTCTTTAAAAAAATGTAGCATGTAAGCAGATAAAAGTACTGTAACTTGAAGTGGAGGAGGTCTAGATTCTTTTAGAAAACAAAGAAATGTCAACTTTGTTCCCAACAGACTTAAAGTATAGAACAGGGATAAGATTTAACAGGTTTATCATTGCATTTTTGTAATGCTATGCACAGGGTTGGGGGGATAAATTTGAAGTTTATTATATTACAGATGTACTTTTCTGATTTTGAAATAGGTCCATCTTTTTGGGGCTTCTTTGGGAGGCTTTTTGGCTCAAAAATTTGCTGAATACGCATACAAGTCTCCCAGAGTTCAGTCGTTGATCCTTTGTAATGCCTTCAGTGACACCTCTATATTTAACCAGACATGGACTGCAAACAGGTGAGGAAGGCTAAAAAAAGCAGCCACACTAAGAACCTACTATTTTTCCAGTAACATCCTGAAACATCAGCTAGAAGCTTAAACAGAGTGCTAGCCATTTGGGCTGGGAGCAATTTGGGAGCAGAGAAGGAATAAGGTGATGGGGGAGGGGGAAATAAGTGGTAAAATATTAATGATTTAACAAGACAAATTACAAAGGAACTGCATGCTTTTCACAATCTGCGTTTTGAAAGCTTAAATTCTAGGCTTGGAGATGATTTTTTTCCTACCGTGAACTCTTGTGACTCATGACCAGACTTGTGAAAGATGGCATCAGAGCTACACATTTGTTGTTCTGCTAGAGCCTGATCAAACCTTGCATACAAGAAAGTGTGAAAAGTGTGGGGGGTGTAAAATACACTCTTGCTGCATAAGAAATTTAGCAGCCTTAGAAAGCAGTCTGTTTCAGTAGGTGCTGTCATTCATCCATGAGATCTTTAACGCTTATTTAATGATTATACAAGTCGTGTCTTGCAAAAAAAACCCCACTTGATTAGATTAAAACTAAGTATTTGTATGATCTGTTTTCATTTCAGTTTTTGGCTAATGCCTGCATTTATGCTGAAGAAAATTGTCCTTGGGAACTTTGCATCTGGTCCTGTTGATCCTGAAATGGCAGATGGAATTGATTTCATGGTTGATAGGGTAAGTGGCTGCCGAGTGTGGTTTTTATAGGTATGTTAAGCACTTCTAGAGAAATCCTCAACTCCAATGAAGGAAAACATTGTCCTAGTTGGAAGTGCCATGTACCTTAACATCTAGAGAAGCAACATGTGGAGCAGTGGGGGTCCCATGCGTCAATCAAGATGAACATAGTTATTTCTGCATTGTGGGGATACTATCGTGATGCAAGATGAGGAAGATCTCCTATTTTTATTTTATATATATTTTGGAGACATTCAGAGAGAAGTAGTTTTCTGGGCTCTCGTTTTTTTGGGAAGTGGCCAATAGCTGCTGTGTTGAGAACAAAGCCAAAAACCTATAAACTTCCCAAAATGAAATTTTCATTTCTAATTTTCATTTCCTTTATTAAGCTGGAAAGTCTTGGCCAGAGTGAGTTAGCTTCGAGACTTACCCTTAATTGCCAGAACTCCTATGTGGAACCTCATAAAATTCGAGACATTCCTGTAACTATCATGGATGTAAGTTGATCTTGTTTTGTGTGCATTTTCCTTTATGTATTGGAAACTCGTATCTTTCCTGGGTGGGACTTGGAAATTCCACGAGTGATTTTAAATACTTGGAAGATCTAATTCTGTGTTAAATCTCTTTGTCCTCTATGGATTATTCTGTACAGTGAATTAAAGGTAAAGTTATCATGGGGTGTCTTGCAAGTACAACCTGAGCTCAGAGCAGTCTAACCTTTTGCAAGCATAGTTTGGCAGCCTGCCTGTAAACTTAAAACAATATGTGTTCTCCAACCCTAGTAATTTTGGTGTCACCCTGAAGCCCGACTGCAATGCTAACAAGCATATGTGATTAATAGGAGAGACTTATTGCCAGGCTTTACTTCCTTTTGTGTTTCAAATAGTCCTTAGCAAATATGTAATTTATACAGTACTATTGTAGCTTTATTCTTGAAGTTAGATTTCACTGTGTGATGAACATTGCACCACAAAGAAGCTGAGAAGGCAGCATAAAAGGGATAGGACAGTGAAGTTAAGGTAACTCCAATGGTAGCTTATTTGTAGCTTACAGTAAGCTTCTTCAAAAGACCCAGTGGGTTTGAGTGACGATTTGCGACTTTGTTTTCAAGGTGTTTGACCAGAGTGCGCTTTCAACTGAAGCTAAGGAGGAAATGTATAAGCTATACCCCAATGCCAGAAGAGCCCATCTCAAAACAGGGGGCAACTTCCCTTACCTCTGTAGAAGTGCTGAAGTCAATCTTTATATCCAAGTAAGTCATTAAAATGCAAATCTTTCTAGCATCATAGTCCAATCTTCCTCCTCCATTTGCTTGTTATTCTTTAAGCTATGTAGATGTAGTGGATGTGGCTCCTGGAAGAGCTGGTATGGAGTGGTTGGGCTCTACAGCAGCTACACTCATTACCTCTGGCTAGATTTCATTTCCCTACTACCATATTTTCTCACATACAACACACCTTTTTCAGCTGTGTTTGGGAAAACTAGAGTGTGCATTATATGTGAGAAATATGAAGGTTTTGCTGTTTATGGGCTTAAACAGTAAAATCTGCAGCAAGCCATAGGAACAGAACAGTGAGTGAGCTTGGCTCCCCAGCTTCTGCTACTCAGTTACTTTTTTTTTTTTTAATAAGGAAAGATCTTTCTTCTCCATTCTACCTTTCAAAAAACAAGGTGCATAGTATATGCTGGGGTGTGATATATGTAAGAATGTGATATCTCTGCATGCAATTTTAAATTGTTGTGTTCCAAGTAGCTGGGTTATATTTCTTCCTATATGAACTGAATACCATGCTTGTAGAGAAGTGTGATGCGGGTTTTGTCTGGGTTAACGACGGGGTAATAATGCCATTGTTTTTCCCCTCAAGTATCCGTATCCAAACTTCAGAGTTATTTTTCATATTTAACAGATACATTTGCTGCAATTCCACGGGACACGATATGCAGCTATTGACCCCTCTATGGTTAGTGCAGAAGAACTGGAAGTCCAGAAAGTCAATCTCCATATCAGCAGTGAGCCAGAAGAGCAGTAACTTTGTGACTGTCAGCTTGGTGGTCTTCCTGTGTACAATCAACTGTTCCCACTCTGCCTTTTTTTTTTTCCCCTCCTCCTTACATTTACCGGTTATCACTGTGTAACTCCCAACAGAACTGAGCTATTCAATGAAACACAGCTGAAGACAGTTGACTGCAACAGTGTAACAGGATAGTTTTGTTTAACTTTTAGTCTCTGAATTTAAGGAAGTATCTTTGAGGACTACACTTTTAAAAACTGAGACACATTTTTGCTACCAAAGTCTTCACTGTCCTGTTCTTAATAGGAACAGTATTTCGTTTTATGTTTTCATTTAGCTGTATATATCGCATAAACAGGTTGTGTACTTCAGTGCCTGCTCATGGTTTTGTTGACTACTTGGTTTAAAAATGATGAAGTGCCAATTTTGCCATCACTTATTTGCTTTATATGTTGAGTTGCAAGTTAGTTACTATTTCTAACTGAAATGAAAGCATTACAATTTTTAACTTTCTTGCAAGCTGTAATAATGGTTTTCAATAAAACTTCAGTTTCAATAAGTTGCTTTTTCTTATTAAACAGAATTGCTGTAACTTCACATGATCCTTCAAAGCTGTCCGTGGGTGTAAACAGCAGTGCATAGTTGCCATAACAGCTATGATATCAAAGGGTATTCTTTCCTTTGGATTTGCTTTGAACAATTAAACTGCCTCAGTGATAGTTTCCAACTTGTATTAGGCAGGTGTTGTCAGACTGCCTGTGAATCATGGTGATATCATTTGTAAGAGTAGGAACAATAGGTTAAAAAACCCAACCCTTACTTTAAGGGAAAAGGTATCCTGGCTTATTGGAAAACACTTTATTTTTTCCTTCAGCATTGTTTTAAAAAGTTACAAAACTTCACATGACAAACTCTTGTTTAAGAAAGTGTGCCCTTTGTCAGAGGTGGTATGAACAACAGATGATTACCTCTTCTGTACTGAAACAGTATACAAAACTATATAAGGTGTAGCCTCACCAAATACCTGCTAAAGGGAAACCTTCAAGGCTGAGGTCCAAAATCTGCTCACTTGAGGACAGTCCACGTAACTTTCTCAAAATACCTATGCCAGCAAGTAAGCAGTTCTGAGCAAACCTACTGGATAATAAACCACAGGTGACATGGACAAAAAAGAGCCTAGATGTTTGGATACAGAACACATTACGCTACAATTTAAAAACAAAGGAATCTCCCTTCATTAACTTATAAAATAGACAATTAAAAAACTACATACAAAACAACGTAAACAAGTTAAACGGTAGAAATGAGCATCAACGTTACTAGCACTGTAACGAGATTTGTCCACTGAGCTGCTATTACAGTGACCAGGTTCTGCTCAACAGCAAATACAACCCTGCCCTTGTAGAAAGAGGCAGTTGGTTACTAGCATCTGCTGCTGTACCTTGTCTGTCTGATCAGTTGGAAGTAGCAGACGTGCCATTTATTATGACAAAAAGCCCTTAAGTTATGGCTGCCTTTTGATAAATAGAATGATTCCAGTTCCAATCAGTATAGCTCTAGGAAAGTCTTCTGATGCAGCATCATACAGGGGACCAACAATCCCCGTTTGGTGGTTACATTGCTGTACACTTCCTTGGAGAAGTGGCGTCTGCATTTGCTTTTTTCCTAATGCTTTCTGTAAAACAAAATCAATAGTTCATGTTTTCCTTCAAGCTCATAAGGGTGAAGGGTGGTAATTGCTTCATGCTGAGTGGCAGCCTGACACTAGAACTCTCTTCCCTTGCTGCTTGTCCCTCCCCTTTTCCCCAAATCCCAATTTAAAGGTTTTTTCCTTGGTAAAGGAGGAGCTGCATTACAGTGTGGGGGTGTATTTGCTTTACAAAGGCTTGTTTTGATGAATGGGAAGCATGGAGCAGTGGGAGCAAAGGTCAGGGAATATGAGTTAAACCCATGCACTCTGTAAAACAAGGGCGAAACTAAATGTGTAATCAAAGCTTAAGATTGTCTGTGGGAACTAGTTATAGTTATATAAGACAAAAAAAAGATATAAAAAAAACTCTTGAGAGGTAGCCAAGTAATTTAACGTGTTGAGTTTGTGCTAATCAGAGCAAAAGTTACCAAGCATTACCTGCTAAGTCTCTTCTACCAATTCCAACCAGGCCTTCATATAATCCTTTGATTGGATTTTCTCCTGCCATAACAACACCATGAAGCCAAATAAGCAACATCCGGTGGCCATGTTCCCTGTAGCTTTTAGTACCTAGTTAAAACCAGAAAGAAATGCTGTACTTCACTGCACATGGATTCTGTAAACTCAGCTTTGCAAATATAGCTGTAAACTTGACTGGAATTCAGTGCATGGCTTTAAGGTAAAGTGTGGCCCTATTAGCTATATAGGCACCCATGCAGATACAGCTAGAAACATCTTCTTGAAGCAAGGGAAGACTATGCTCAAACCTGTATTGAGCAGGGATCTAAAGGAGAGCAAAGTTTCTGGGAAAATGATGGCCTGTGATCAAATTTGTCTAATTATTTATCTTAGAAAGCAGCAGCATAACTAGGGATGGGTGAGTTGAGGTACAAGTCCCAGGCACTGACTGAAGGGGAGGTAGGAGGGCCCTACCCATGAGAGACGCTGCTGCCAAGGGGTGGTATTAGTGCAGCCAGCAGCTCTGTAGTTAACTCTCTCACCTGCACCTGTAGCTTCCCACCCCCTCCCACAACTGCCAAATTTAGGGTTTCAAAATTGCTAGGTGGCAGCTACTGCCAAGTTAAGGGGCAGAGGGGGAGGCTGACTAGGGGACTGGACCAAGGTGCAAACTCAACCAATTATACCTCTGTTCATAAACTAAGGGTTATGATCTCCCCAGTAAGCCAAGTTGATATCCACTGTGAAAGCCTGTGACTAGTGCCAAACCAGGAGTATATGACTTAATCCTGGCAGCGTCTGTCTTTGCTTCCACCCTGAGCCCACAGTTACACCCCTCTATTGGCAAAGTGGGGCTAGACAGTCACTTCTGGGGAACGGTAAAGCAGCACCTGGTAGCTGAAAGGCACTGGGTTTGGCCCTTGTGCCCTGAAGAACCTGGGCACCACATCCAAAGTCACGTTCCACTTAAAAGAACAAGCAGGAAAGGTGTTGGGATGCTTCATCCTACATGCATAGGTCAGCATAAGTCCTCAGGTTTCAGTGTCCCACTCCAACTCCAGGAAGCTACCTGGTATGTTCTGGGCAAATAAAAGGGCTTTGGGCTCTTTCTTGCTGCAGGGAAAGCTTGCTTACAGCCAGATTTCCAGAGGGGATGCCAGTCCTGAGCTACCCCAAGTAATGTCTAGCTGGGCCTATAGCACTACTGTGTGTGGAGGTTGAATGGAAAAGGCACCAAGTTTGCTTGCTATCTTGCCCCTAGCCTGCCTGTCCTGCTCCTCAGCATTACCCTCTGCAGGACCTGGATCCACTTTGGCTCTCTCCAGGAGAAACCAAGGGCAAATCTCTCCTACAGGGGTCAAAGTGGAAGCCAGCTCCCCCTGGGCACTTAGCCTGGCTAATAAAGTGGGAGTGCAGTGAAGAACGACTATTTAGCTCCTACAGAAAGCGTCCTGTGTCTCTGCCCAGGCCCTTTTAGCAGCAAAAGGTTGCCAACCCCTGGCTTAGTGTTTCGAACAAAATCTGGGGGCTGTTCCAGGCCAACCAGCCAGCTCCTTCAGCTCTTGGCAATACACCAGAGCAGAAGAGTTATCTGTGAGAAATGCAGAGGAGGAGAAAATGCTTGGCTTGTGACATATACCTGTCCACTGCTGCTCAATGGCTCGAATATGTGCATCAGTGAATTTCCAGTACTGTGCCAGCTTCTTCCATTCATTGGGTTTGAGGTATTTTGTAGCTAATCTCCACATCACCGAGCGAATGTGTTGCGTTTCCAGCCTGTGATCTTGCTTAAAGGTCAAGTGTTTTGCTATCCAGGAGTCTGAGTCGCTGTTCAGATTGTCCTGCCGAGTTAAGAGAGGAGCTTCAGTGCTGGTTTTTTATTCAGGGAAGGAAAACGCAGGAACCTGGAGTGCAGTGTTCCTTTGTGTTTGAGAAGCAGTTTAACTTCCCTGCTGGCAGCAATGTGCAATACTGCATGTCGCTCCTGTTTGCCCACAATACAGCCAATTATCCTATGCTGATGTTCACACTGCAGCAGGATACAATGACTCTGTATTGTTAGGAAGATCAACCCCAGTAACAATTCCTGGCCTAAAGCCTGCAAGTGCTGCTCTAGCAAGAGGCTGCCTGTGCTTCCACTACTACTTGCCAATCCATCACATCCCACATCTGTGGCAGACTGGGTGTCTCAGAGTTCATTCTGACACAGCATATTTCTGTTTTATTAACCTGATGGTTTCATGCCTTGTTTAATAAGTGCTGTGAATGGCACCATTGCTATGCCAGTCAATGCAGATAATGATTTGCATTTCAATGGTGCCTTCTGTTGGAGACTCTTGAATAGACCCAGAAACAATCATTCAATCCCCAGCTCCCTGGTGATAAAGGAAGCACTATCCTTACTTCTGCACACACAGAAAAGAGCAATTGAGGACTCTGCCAAAGGCCCCTCAGGCAGTCTAAAGGCCTGGTGCAGAACACACTGTGCCTCTTCCCCCAAACTCCCTACCAGGATGTAAGACAGCACCTAAACAGATTAGATATCCAACTTCCAATGGGCTTTCTTTATTAAACTCCCAAGCTCACTTGCCCGCTGGATGATGCTGGGCCAAGCAGTTTCCCTACCTAAAAATGGAGGGTAATGATGCTCTAACATGCCCTCAGATCTACTGTCTGAGAATCTCTAAGACTCTGGCCCTCCAGGACAGGCTGGGATGTCTAGCAGCAGGTGCCAAGATCAGGAAGCAGGTCTGTTGTAAAGCTGTTTGGCCTCTTTTATAAAACAGGTGGTGAAAAAAAAAAAGAGATGTTCATCATGCAGTCTGGTGCATTTCTTTCCCCCTTGTACCTCTGAGCATAGCACATCCCATGCTGTCTCAACTGCCGTGTAAAGCTTCATCTTGACAAACTGGAGGTCTTTGAAGATGCTCAGCTCAACACAAGCTGCCTACCTTTTCCCATTTGTAAAACCGATCTGCTTTAATAATCATATCTGCTAAGTTGATGTGGTTTCCCCGGGCTGCTACATCCAGAGAGGTTTTCCCTTGCTGAAAAAACAAAGTTAGAAAAACACAGGCTATTGACTGCAGGTGCAGGAGAGGTACAGTCACTAATCTTCTGTCTGTCTCAGGTGCATGGCTGGTCCTTAGAGCTGCTCTAGTCACACACCCTTCAATCTTCAGTGAATTGGTTTCCTCCATTACCTGGTGAGGCAGGGCAACGATAGTGACCGTAGGAATAATGTACTGGGCTGGGACAACGGAGTCCTGGATTCTAGTTATGGTTTTTATTGGCCTGCTGGGTGCCCTTGGGCAAAATGTTTAACTGCCCTATGCCTGAGTCTCCAATCTAGGAAATTGGGATAAACGGGTGGCAGTACCTGGGTCTGCTTGCTACAGTATGTAGGCATCTACTTGGGAAATGTGTTGTACAAGATCTGGGTGTTGTGACCATCCTTGCTGAGGAGCTGGAGAGCTGAGACCCAGAGAAACAGTAAGTACTGCATGCTGCAGACTTGAGTACAATTGCAGCTTGTGTAGATGAATCAGAACCAGCTTTAAGCTAACTAGATTGACACCACCAGTGTAGCTCGGGTGGGCAAGATGCGGCCTGTGAGACGGATGTGGCCTGCCAGGCCATTCTATCCGGCCCGCGGGGCCCCTAAAAAATTTAGAAAATTAATATTTATCTGCCCCTGTCATGTGGCCCTTGATGGCTTGCCAAAACTCAGTAAGTGGCCCTCTGCCTGAAATAAGTGCCCACCCCTGTTGTAGCTGCAGCCCAGGTATGTACCTAGTGTGCCCAGCAGGCTGTGCTGACCTCATCCACGCTGTTCTTGGTTTTAAAGTTGGCCAGGATAAAGCCAGCTTGAGACATGGCCTCTCCAGCTGCAGTCATGCCATAGCCTTGCCCAGGTGACATCCACATAGAAGTCAAAGCAGCCGCCCTCCCACCACCATCCTCCTAACAGCATCTAATAAGAGCACCCCTCTGGGTGTCACTGGGTATACATCAATAGGATGTAACATTTATTAATACAGTCTTTCATGGTGCTTAAATTACTTATGTTAATTGTAACCCCAGGATAATTGTTACCACAGGGTCTCTCTCCACTGCAACCCCCTCTGCCAAGCAGGAGCAGCTACGGTTTGTTCCTGAGTACCTCAAAGCACGCTGCTCAGAGATCTGGTGGGTGCACTGCACTTTACCAACACCAGCTCCAGAACAAACGCTTGGCCCCAGTGCTTTTGAACATGCACTCAGCATTTCAAGTCGGAGGCATCTTGCAGCTGTTTTGCTCAACAGGGTCACTGAGGTGCATGAATCTGAACTGACCAGTGCTGTCTCACGAGTTTCAGTTGTGCGTGTATGAACAAGTCTGATTAAACACTACTTGGGAGGAAACAGCATGTTGACATGACTATTAAGGCAGCATTTGAACTCCCTCGTCTGTTCCTGGACTCGGTGTGTGTATGTATCCCTAGTAGGCACAATTTATATATATATATTATTATGTGTAAGAGACCTAGAGAGAGAGAGGACAGTTATTGGAAATACATGCAGCAAGCCAGGAGGGTGATTCTGTGTTGGGGTGAAGCACAGTCCTCTGCTTTGCACTTGTGCTTGGTCTTAGTGTAGTGCCAAGACCTGCCAGTTGGTGGTAGCAGCAACATTTTGGTTCCAGACTAAGACCCAGTCAGGCTGGGTTTGGCTTTTAATTAATGATTTCGTAGACATTAGGGCTGGAAAGGACCTTGAGAGATCATCAGATCCAGCCCCCTGCACAAGGGGCAGGAAGTCAGCTACATGGTAGGGGTGGGGGGTGCAAGTAGCAGGGATAACTCACAACTGAAGCAGGACAAACCTAGAATCTCTAATCCAGTGCTTTTCAACCTTTTTTGTATCAGGACCCATTTGTAAATGAGGGCCAGTCCCAACCCAGTGCCCCTCACTCCCTACCTGCTATCCTCCAGCCTCCCAGTGTACTGCGGGAGAGGGGGTGGGCAAGCAACCCCTCGCAGGCTGGAACTCTGCTAGCTTGCAAGGGAAAAGCTACTGTTTCCCACATTTTTCTCCTTTAAAGGAGACTCCATCTTTAAAGTTTGTGCACAACCCTTTCACATATTCCTGGGACCCACTTTTGGGTTGTGACCCATGGGTTGAGAAACACCACTCTAAGACACTTGCTCCCAAAGATGTCTCTGGGGTTCCCAGGCCCCCAAAGCTCTTCATAATTAGATATGGTGAAAGTCAATGCAATAGTGAAGAGAGGAGAAGCTTCACTGATGGCAGGAAGAAAATATTTCCCCCTCCCTCTTCACCAGACATCATCTCGTCCAAAGCTGCACCTTCAAGTCTGAGAGCTATGAATAGATTTATCTACCATTTACTTGGAGAAACCACATGGTTTCATCTCTACATCACAAGATACATAGCTGGCTTCAGAGTCCTTCTGGAAAGCAGTGCTTTTTTGCAAATCTTTTGCAACAAACAATTCCAATGTTATTACATTTCATTAAAAAGCATGCCATTTATAGTGAATCGCAGATCTGATGCCAAGCTGTGGCTGAAAACTCTTTGAGTTTCTCACCTGCACAAGCAAATATGTGCTTGGGAGCAGAGGGCTGCATTTGCCCAATGCTATCAACAATCTTTTTGTTAATCACAGCTGCAGGGTTTCTTTGCACAGCACTGACCACTGGACAGCTCAGATTTTTTGCCCATTAACCCATCTGCACTTTAATCCCTCTTACTGGCTATTTAAGACCACCCCAGAAGAAGGTAGTTTGCATTTAATACACGTGCTGGCAGAGGTGGCAGTAGCAGGTGCAGACTCCTGCAGCTTTGCCTAGCAATCAGTGAACTATTCTGCACCTTTCTAAAAGTCAGCCCACACCTTCCTCAAAACTCTACGCCCTCCTCCATTTTACCCTCTCCCTCCCAATTCCTCCTCATTTTAACTGCTTATCATCAAAAATATGCATCTTTTTCTAGCACTGGCTGTTTTTCCTGCAGCTGAAAGTAAAATAAGTCAGCAGTCCTGTGAAGTCCTCTCAGATCTTTTTGGCCATTAAGGAAGTTTACCTTATCAATTAGCTTTAAGTTAACGCCTGCTATGAGAATCATCTCAGCTATGTCTTGTCTCCCATGTTCTGCAGCAATATGCAGTGCGGTCTGCTGCCTCTGTGTAAAAAGAAAGGAGAGATTCAACACTGGGCACGAATGCAGGCTGAGAACAACAGGAAGAAATACGGGCACGTATACTGGAACCAGCTGACACTGCTGAACTGCATATTCCTATACACGTTTTGCTCTCACTGCTACCTAACTCAGTCCTGTTGATGTTAATGTCAAATGTCCCATTGGCTGGGATGCACCAGGGGACTCCAAGATGGGATTCTGGCTTGTCTTGGCACTATCGATGGGAAGTCCTTCGTGGTACATACTTCAACCTAACAATATCTGAGCCTGTAACACACCTTTGGGACCCCCAGTTGGACATTTCCAGCCATATATATCAAGCAGAGGGATGTTTGGGAAATGGACAGTCTTCCCTGTCTTCTTTCCATGGATAACCATATCAGATGGATACTGGCTCTACCTCTCTAAGGCCTAAATCAAGCTATACCATGCTGGTGATTTCCCTTAAAGTCAAAATGAGGGCTGGTCCTTTAGTGGAAAATTCCAGGTCGCATACAAGAAACCAAGCCAAGAAATAACATAGCAAATCAATACAGGCACTAAGCCAACTCAAATGCTTATTCAGAGCCAATTTTAGTTCTAGTATGGCGATAATGAACTAAAAATCCAATGTCTGGTTGAAAGAGATCTGTTTGCGTAACAGATGCACTGCTTGCAACACCACCGTTTGGCCTAAGAACCAACCAAGGTCCATTCCTGCTTTCCATGTAGAGTCTTTCTTAATGTTCTCCAAATTATCCGTGTGCCCAAACCTCTGCTGCTTGCTCACAGCTCAGAGTGGTAAGGGCCTGGACATGCAGACCTGTATACAGACCAGCCAGGGAACCTCACACACAGAGGGTTCATGGGGTCCAACCAAGGACCTGCTTGGAAAATGCAAACAACTCAGCCACTTTGGAGTTTCGTGAGCTGAATCTCCATGTTCCCCATGTTTTGAACGCTGTCTGTTACATGCACCCCTGCTCAGTTCCCAGTCTTACGTTATCTGGGATGTCCAGGTCACATTCTGCATCGATGAGGAGTTTAACCAGGGCTGGGAAGTTGTGCAGCACCGCTATGTGCACAGCCGAGGCATTTTGCTGTGGAAAGAAGACGCGTTATTTGCCACAGGTCTATAGCTTATATGCAGCTTTCTGCCTTGCAATCTACTTATTAAGGGTCCCGGCACCTGGGCTAGGACACAAAGGCTATGAATCCCCAATTCTAAAGTGCTCCTTTTTCGTTGCCATTCATGCACCTAATGGATCAGCAGCAACTGACATTTTTATGGATTCCTCAAGGGAATGAAGTACAGTGCCTTGCTCCTACTGGTATCAATGAGGACAAGATAGGAAATGAAAGCAAGCTGTTGCTTTCAGGCAGACAAGTCTTCCAAAGGCAAATGCCAGAGATAGTTTATAGGCAGACGCACCTGCTCAGCCTGTGCCAGCACAGCATTTGCCGGGCTGCATGATGGAGAAGAGCGGTTTACAATGGCCAGAGCAGGTGCTCACAGACAGCAGATCCAGGTCCCCTATCGTCTGCCTCCCATGACCGTATCCAGAATCTGGCCCCATCTGTTTAGAAAAGCTCAAAATCATTTCGTGCAGCTTACGTGATTGACGGCCTCTGCATGGATTCCAGCATCCACAAGGACCCGGGCTATATCTTCATAGCCGTGCAGTGCAGCATAATGAAGGCAGTTCATCTGTTTCTGAGACATGCACCAAAAAAAGGTGGATATTAAGCCAAGGCATTTTATCAAGCAAAAGGACCTTTCTCCCTCTGGGCCTTTGTTCATTCTGCTTCTCAGAGGTTCCAGCTGTAGCCGCTTCCTCAGAGAACACCCTTCCCTTCCACTGGGGAACTGGTGCAAGCCACGAGGGGCACAGCAATACTGGGGTGATGATAAGATGTCGGCTGGAGACAGCCCAAAGCCAAGACACGAACAGCTTTACCATGGAGCTGTCACTCTCTGGTTTAATGGTATCTTGATTCTGCATGTCCTGAAGTGATATCACTTTTCTCCAATGCAGATGATTTTCACTAATCACCCAGTCACTTCCATATCCTTTAGAAAACCCAAATGACCTTTATTTTGGTGAGGGGATGTAGGTTGTAGCCGTGTTGGTCTATGGACATAGGCAGACAAGGTTCTTTGGGTGAATCTGGTATCTTTTATTAAACCAACTATTAGGATGCAAAGTGTACCAACTACTAGGATACAAAGGATGCAGGTCTTCTTCTTGGTGGCATTTTGTTCCCCAAACACTTTTGTCCTGATATACCAAACCCTCTGTCCTGATATACTGGTCTCTCAACTGGAGAACACTAGTTTTCAGAGGGAAAGAAGAACGCTCCTTAGTCCATCTGATTCTACAGTGACAGACCTCATCCTCAGAGGGAACTTCACTTTAATTAATGGTGAATGGGTCTCCTAGCCTGATTTTCTATGACAAAAGAAATGGTGTCTTTGCTGTCCTAGGAATAATGCAGCATAAATACCTCATCTATCAGCACTGCCCACAAGAAAGCGGGTGTCTGCTCTGTTAGGGTCTGTGCTCTCTGAGAAGCCATTAAAGAAGTCCCAGGAACTACAGCTGGGGGCCTGTTGCATGATAATAACAAATCATTGTACAAGCTTGGGAAAGAAACAACAGGAATCTAATATTGCTGCAGCTCAAACCTGTCTGAGCAGGCCTGACACCGAGTCCTTGCTTCAATTGCCAGGATACTTACAAAAATACACCCCGACACATCTCCAGTGGGAAGACAAAGGAGACCACTGTCAGGGCTTCAGGGCAAGCAGGCTGCCATACAAGCGTTTAAGACCTATTCCTTTGTCAAAGGGGTGTTTCACCCTGCATTAATACTGAAGTCACACAGCCACCAGAAGGTGGAAGGGTAGGACTTAACCCTTCTTACGTTGCCACCTGCACACAGAGCAAGCCATACAGCTGCTGCCCGAGTGGGAAACGACTGAGAATAAAGCCAGCTTCCAGCAGTACTTGCTTACTTGGGTTTGGAGGTTGACATTGCAACCAGCTTCCAAGAGGAGCTTTATGCAGTCGTAATGCCCTCCGTCAGCAGCCGAGTGCAGGGCAGTTTGTCCTTCCTGGGAACAAGAACAAGAGACAAAGCTGAACCTGAGCATGGATGCCAAGACGGGCCTTTCATAGAGCAAGGCTCAGTACCGGTGAGCTGGATGCACCAGCTTGGTGACACAGGGGAGTCTGCTCAGAGGCATGGGATCCTTGGGCCTCTTCAGTCAGCAATGTGCTCCTGTGCTGGCTGTACATATCAGGGGTTCACTCCCACTCCAGACTAATGTTAAGGAATCACACACCACTATCAACATACTGATAGCGTGGTGTTTGCCACAGCTTTCAGAGTCCTCTCTCACCTTCTTTGCATCAGCAAAGCTCCCTCTGAAGTCAGGCCCCACTCCGCACCGAGTTCAGAGGGAGCTTTGCCTATGCAAGGAAGGTGAGAGAGGACACTGAAAGCAGTGGCAAACCATGCATAATACTCTGCCCCTGCACCCTCTGCCTCCAGTGAGTGATTTCACCCACATGGCCTACATATTTAACAACAGGGGGAATCTAAAATGGACTCCATACAAAACGCCTGGAATTCATCAACTTCAGCTGACTGCTGCCACAGCCATCAAATTAAAGATATTTTTAGTGCAGCTGGGACATTTTGTAATAAAAACAAACAGGATGGCATGTATGCCCACTTTACAGTTGGGTAAGCTGAGGCACAGGGTCACAAATGATATCCCAGAAGTCACAGTGAGTCATGGGCAGAGTTGGGAATCTGTGCCACTTGACTGCTGTTCCTGTAACTACTACAGCATACTTTCCTCTATGAAGGAGGCCCCATGAGCCTTTCCGAGGATGTTTATCTACATTCACTGCTACTGTGTGCATGAGGGGAAGCTGATCAGGAAGGGATCCATGCAGAAGTAGCACTAGCTGACAAAACTATCAGATGAGACTGCTTCCCTTCCCTTTCAGATCACCTTATTTACTATGCAAAGACAGCAATTAAGATTTAAGTTTATCAGGGATTCATTTAAATTGGGAGACTGAGTGAAACCGCCCCAGGACTCAACTGGATGGCTATTTGCTAGTCGAGACTTTAAGTAATGTTCTCATCACAGACTGGTAACCCGAACAGCAGAAGATATCAAATCAAGAGACTAGTTGTTCAGTGACCAGATCAATGTTCTTTATGCAGAACTTGATGCATCTTAAAACAATGTTAATTAACCATGTAGGCACCTAAATATTCAAGAGCGTGGGACTGTAGTGGGGGAGAAAAGGTGATAGTCAAGTTAGTTCAACAGTTACATGAACTGTGAGTTTTTTCCTTCCCCTCTAGAGTGGTCCTTCTCCAGGGTCTTCTGAACCTGTATTAAACAAACTACACAGGCAGTGCCCTCGTCTTCCCTGCTTTCATCTATGACACGCGGTAGAGTATTGCTGGTGCTTCTAATTTTGTGCTTTATAGTTGTGTATGAGGCTTTGCAGGGGCAAGTTTGGGAATTTCTTGGGCAAATGACAGCCTGAGAACACAACGCCCCTTCCAGTCCTGTGTTCCTACAACAAAGGTAAAGGGAGTCAATTAGTGTTTAGTTTGGAGTCAATAGGGATATTGCTTCTTGCAGAGAAACTGCATGTGTCCAGCACTTTGGATCTGCGCATTTTAAATAAACCCAGGGAGGTCCATAAGCCAGTTCTTAGCACAGAGCCCAGCAGTCCTGCTTGCACCAGCCAACATGGGAGGCTGCCTCTAAAAATCAGGAGGGATGTTTGCTTGGGTTTCTTTTATTTACTCACCACGTTCTTTTCATCCAGGTCCACTCCAACACCGACAATCTTCTGTAGCACCGCCAAATGCCCATTTTTAGCAGCTAAATGTAGGGCTGTATTCTTTTCCTGCGTGCAGACATTGCTTCTTGTGTAAAACCTTCATGGCCAAGCACTCGGGCAAAGCAGCTCTGTATGAACCAGTTCCCAGGATGATGCAAAAGAAGCTTTTCTAACCATCAGCAGAACAAGACTGAACAACAACCTCCCAGCAGCAGTAGTGGGGCGATAAGCCAAACTGGTTTTAGGAGGAAGCTGAATACATTTAGGAATTAAACTATATAAAGTGGCTGCCTGGGGATGAGACCTGATGACCCTGGATATCCCTGCCAGTCTCTTGTTTCCGTCTGACCCAACAGCAAACCTGGGAGTCATTCTTTTGTCAAATAATCGCCCATTAAGAAAAATAACTGATTCAGTTCTGATGAAGGGGCGCTATGTCTGCCAAGAAACTAGAGCACCAAAGGGAGGCAAAGACAATTTTCTGTTTAAGCATTTAAGACAAGGGTTCTTAACCTTTTTTGTGCCATGGACCCCTTTGGCAGTCTGGTGAAGCCTACGGACCCCTTCTCAGAATAATGAGCGTCTGTAGACAGGAAGACTGCGACCACGTGCGATCTAGCGGCAGGTCTAATAACTACTGTAATTTCAAAGTAGTGATGAGCGTAAACGATATTTCGAGACACCTGCAACAACTGTAATGTGATATGAAAATATCTGTGATTTCTATTGGTGACAGTCACAGGTATTGCTAATACTACTGTGGTTTGTTGCCTACATTCATAATTGAAGGAAATGCTAAATTTCAGTTAGAGGTTAGTGAAAATAAAGATGTAATTTTTTTCCCATCCAAGTTCACGGACCCCCTGAAATCTATCCACAGACCCCTTGGGGGTCCGTGGACCCCAGGTTAAGAACCCCTGATTTAAGCGCTGCTTTTGAACAATTCACTTCTCCCCACTCCACAAATTTAAATCCTGGTTGAATGCAATTATGGCAGCAATTAGACAATGAATAAGCTTCCCATCACTGTGGGATCTCATCACTGCAGTGCCAGTGCTGCTTCTGATTTCTGACTCCAGAGCGCTGGAGCTTGGGTATCTGAGGACTTTCTCCCCAGGATGCAAATGTCTTCTGTCTCTCTTATCCAGCCACTTTACTTCTACGTTCCTCACTGCCGCACTATAGGAGCTCCACAAGGCTCAGCAAATCACAGGGTACGTATTTTCCTGTGCATGAGCTGAACACGTACCACCCTCTTCTGTCACTCCTCTCGCACTAGCCTCCTAACAAATATTCTCTAGTGGAGTGAGAAGTATCTGTCCTTCCCACACTGGGGACCTAGCAACTGTCTCTACGAGAACAAATAAATTGGTTTTATTCCATAAATTCAGGCTGCCACTTCATCGTAATGCAGGGTTAGGGTTATAACCCCGTGGTCCAAAAAGTCCCCCCCAGCTCCAGGGCCTATCCACAGCTTCAGTGCCTTCCTGCTGGGCTTGCAAATGGATGGGGGAAGAATTCCACGGAACAGGCAAGACAGAGCTACCGCAGACCAGCATACAGCCAACCGGCCCAAGCATGCGCTCACCAATCGCCTGCGTGTCTTTGACCCAGCCACCCAAATCGAGATCCCATTGCCAATCCCTTGCGTCATTTAGGTCATTATTCCATTGCTCTGCCCCGAACGGCAGCTTCTGTCTGTACCTTGTCTTTCACGCTGCGGGAACACCCCGCTCTGATCAGGAATTCCACCGCCTCCAGCCTCCCGTGCTCTGCAGCCAGGTGAAAGGCCGTCCTGTCCATCTGCAGTTCGGAAGAGAAAAACAGAAACACCAAGACAAAGGTTAACAGCTGAGAATGACCTGGATACCCAATGCATGGAAGATATCGCATTTTAGCCAATTTTTAAAAATGAAATCTTCGTATTTTCCCAAGCAGGAAGCAACTGTGACCACCTGCAACCTGAGATCCTGCTCTCACCTTGGTTCAAAGTAATTTGCATCATCACCGATCCTCACAGGAGGTGAGAGGCTTCATACCAGCTATGAACTGCCTGTCCAGAGGAGTTTTCCATCTATCGACGACTCTGTGAAATCCTATGAAATATGACCTTTCATTTCTACCCAGGAGAACTTTTACAATCTTTTCTCTGATGCCTGATGAAGGGGGTCTATGCCTGAAAGCTTGCAATTAAAGAATTTTTTTTGCAAAAATATTGTTGGTCTAATAAAAGATATCACCTCTGCTACGAGTCCTGATTGCCTTTTCCTCTAGACCAATACGGCTACAACCTGGATGCCTGACACTAGCACTAAAGTAATGACTCTTGCTGAAGGCATTAGAAGTAGGCTTCCCCCAATAACTACACACTGCAAGAATAGTTTTGTCTCCTCCTGGCAGTAACTAGCATTGAGCCTTAAAAGATTTTATACATCGCCAGCGGTTCCTCTGCTTTCACATTTGGGGGTGATCTTAGGAAAAAAAAAAGGAGCTGAGCTGAACCACCTGCCTGGCACTAACAACTCTATGCCCTTTGGTTTCATCTGGCACAATAAAAGGCAAAGAGAATGTCAATATTTATTTCAACATGAAGAAAGGAAAATAAGCAGCTTATCAAAAGGTAGTTAAAGCTTAAAAGCCAAAAGAGAAAGCAAAAATGATCTGAAGCATCAATTATCCCATGAGTCATTTTAAAAAAACAAAAAAAAAAAACCCTTCTTGGGTGTAGGTAATTGCCAGTGCAACCCACTTTATGTGCTTGGGGAAGAGAAAGGATCCCCACAGGAGCGGTGCGGGGCAAAGAGAGGGCAGCAAGGGCTATGACTGAGGACAGCGAGGGGGCAATGGCACTTGGGAGCTGGGCTCAGTCCTGTGCTTCCTGATGAGCGAGGCGGGATCTGCCTGCAGCAATCAATCAGGAAGGAACAGCTTGGCGACAGGGACCGTTGTTTACCAAAGGCATGCCCATGCCCTGCTGCGTCATTAATGCAGCCTGGCTTGCAACTCCCCAGGGTGAGGCTGCCAGGCACAGCACCATCCTGCCACTCTGAGTCCATAAGTACTGACTATACTTTCCTGGCGATTCCCACACAAAACTGCATTTGGAGGAGCTGGGCATTTTGCCCCGGGCGAAAATCAAGTCATTCTCATGATAACGTCTGGCTCAACCGTCCTGCCTCGCACCCCACTGACAGCTTCCAGGACACGCTTGAAACGAGATGCAATTCCACAGGAGGACAAGTACGAGGAGTGGGGCTGGAGGCAGAAGCCAGCCTGCGGCATTTCCCTGGAAGCTAGATCCTGGATTCACCTTCTCCACGCATCGAAGGAGACGCGATCCCAGGGACTCAACCCTGCTCCTGCTGAAACCCAGGGGCACGCTGCCAGGAATAGCATGAAAGTGAGGCTGCTTTACAGCCTTGCTACCTTGTCTGTCTTGTCCACGCGCACGTTCTCCAGGTCCTCCACGATGAACTCCATCACCTTGACGTGACCTCTCTGGGCCGCGCAGTGGAGCAGGTTCCTACCATGCTAGAGTGGGAAGCAAGCCACATTTGCTTAATGAGCCAGAGGCTGCATTACATCACTGCTGTAACAGCTTCTTCCTGGTAAAAAAAACCTCATCCACTGCCTCCCTGCAGCTCCCTGGCTAAAGCCAGCCAGGACTGCAGATGGCTAATTGTTTCCCCAAAATGTTGATGTTCTCTCTTTCTCAGCAGAGGTTTATTTTTAAAACATATCTACTGCTGATTTATTAATGCTCCTTCTTGTTTCTACAGCACCTTCCATCTGGGGCTTTCAGAGTCGCAGACTGCAGAAACCTCTCTGGAACAAAAAATATGATAGCTATGTACTAGCGCAGCTAGGCCCAGGGATGTGAAAAAGCTTCCCTAAGCCTGTGGCCACACGGTGGGTCAGAGACAGAGCCAGGAGTGGCACTCAGCTTCACCCGCTCCCCTGTATCCCCTGCAGGGAGTCAGTAAAAGGATGTCAGCTAACAGGGAAGACTGAGCAGCTCACGCCAGCACTGAGTTCTTCCTATTGCTCTGCAAACCTTTCCCCTCCCATGACTGTGCAATGCAGGACGTGGCATCTGCTTGCCATAGATGAAGCAAAATAAATATACACACATCCCTGCAAAGGGCAGGTAGGTTCCTTTGTCCTGATAAACTCACTGTCTTGCTGCAGCAGTGGCAAGTGAACCAAAAAGGATGTGGCTGGGTGCGATAATATGAGGCTCTCTTCTCAGAGGCAGTCACAGTGCAGAAAATGGATTGCCATGGCAGATACAAATACAGAGCCATGGGCATATCCAGAGGGCTTTGGGGAGTGGACAGTGCTGGCACTGTACATTTTCCCCATCATGTTAATAAAATAAATGATGGTGCCTGCATGCCTGGACACCGATGGGACTGGGCAAAAGGAGCAGCAGGGCAAGAGATCCTGGGATAGGGGTTGCAGGAGTTGCCCCAGTACTACTCAGGAGCAACCCCTGCAGCGATTGCCCCTGGGGTGCAGGCAGCTCCACTGTGCCCATATGGACCCAGCCATGGGGGACTGGTGCCTCCTGAGTCTGGGGGGACACCAGCAGAAGCCAGCAACAGCATCAGCAGTGGGGACGGGGCTGGTAAGCACCCGCAGTTGCCGATGGTGTGGGCAGCAGGGATGACCCTGTTGGGGAGGGGCATGTGCCCCCCTACCAGTCACCTATGGACCCAGCTTTGCGGCCTGTTGTGGCAGCCGGTCTCTCAGCTCTCCCATTCTCTGCCGGCTGCAATGACCGAGCTGACCACCCTCCCCCTATTGCTCCCTGGCTCTGGACAGCCGAGGACAGGACACAGGAGCAAGCTGCCTCACCTTATTTACACAGGTGACCTTGGCCCCAGCATTGACAAGGATCTGAAGGATGCGCAGGTGGCCGAACCAAGCCGAGAGGAGAAGCGCATTCATTCCAAACTGGAGAGGAAGGAGCACAGATCTCTTCAGTCTTGCCATCCCCCCAGGCCCACCCCCCAACAATACTGCCAGACGCCCCATGCCAGACCTCGGAGGGAATCTGCACAAGCAATATTTAATTTTTAAATAGTTAATATTTAATGTGGAGTTCTCTTTTAAGAGCCCTTCCTTCCCTCTGCCAGTTCGATCCCCCTCTCCTCACTGCTCTTCCTGCTCTGGGGAGATCAGTAGCTGCTGAAGAACCTGTCAATCCGCTGATAGGAAAGCAATCCTCCCTGTCAGCCCATTGCTCCCGGGTAGGAATATGTTGGCCGGACACCACTTGTTGGCCAGCAAACCACTAATACAACAGGTCCACCCTCGCAGCCAGGCTGGAAGCATCAGTGTGGCAGCCAAGGATGAGATGGGACCGGAGTAACTACTGCCTTCAGAGCAAGGCTGAGATGCAGTGCAAGGGAAGCACGCACGGCTTCTCCTTGCGCACCCAACCCATTCCCCAAGCACTATGTTGAATTTGAGATGAGATTTCCCACCCCGCTGCCCCACGACCTGCAACAAGGCCTTCAAAGGAGAGGCACAGTCATACATGGTCTTCATCATCCAGCGCCATGTCGTGCTCCAGAAGCAGCCGCACAGCTTGCTCGTGCCCAGCTCCAGCGGCCCAGTGCAGAGCAGTTCTGTCTATCTGGAGAGGAAGAGACAGAGGAGCCAAGTGGCTACAGGCCTGAGCTGAAGTCTTGGTTGCACTGAAGTCAATGTCCAAGCTCCTTTTGACTTCACTGGGGCCAGGAGGTTACTCACAGTTCGTGTTCAGTCAGCAAACTGCATTCTTCACTATACTGCTTAGCAACGAAACGTGGGAATAGGGACAAGAGGAAGACTACTAGGGTCTTTTGCAGCACTACAGTGTCAGGTCTCCAAGTCTTTGTTTTATTAAGAGTTGGAAGCCACAAAAGCAACGGTCAGTGCCTCCTCGTGCGCTTGCCCACACAGCACAGCTGGCCAGCAGACCTCCTGCCAAGTTCCCGGCACATCTCTGCATGCACCCACCTTTCCACTGGCAGGCTTCCCCCTCCCTCCTACCCCACCCCATGATGTGTGGAATAGGACTTCTGCTGCTGCCCAGAAGGCACGAGGAAACACCCCCATGCCCTCAGCCAGCTGCCGCAACCCCTTCAGCAGCCGGGCTGCACTTCGTGCGATGGCAGCCCACATGCTGAGTGGAGCTGCACTGACCCCCCACCATACAGGTGTACGTGTGCTCTGGTGGCTTGGAGGCAATGGCAGGCATCCACCACCAGAAGCTTTGGCAGCTAAGACAGCCGAGCCCGGACACAGCCCCACACGAGCCAGGGACAGCCAGAACCCGCACCACTTTCCCAAAATGTTTCTGTGAATGTTGCAAGAGACCCATTTGGGCACACAACGTGTCCCTCCCAATGTGCGTGGGCAGTGACCTGGCCTGGAGCGAGGCCTGCCCCCTTACTGGAAGCCCCATGGGGCAGGGACCCAGACTGGCACTACTGAGTCCTGCTCCATAGCACCTGGGTTTCCTAGATACCTTGGCAATAACAGTAATGATTAATATTAATAAATGCTGGCACACCGTTCTTTGAAAATCTGGCCCTTAAAATGTTTGGTACAACAAGGGGCTCGGATACTGATACAGGTACTGATCGCTGTAGTAGTTGGGTGGATGGGCTGGATTGCACATAGCCTTAAGTATGGCCACGATGCTGTGATCCTCGACTTCCTGTGCACTGATTGCAGCTTTCAAATCCCTTCAGGCTGCCCAGAGATGCCAGCACGTTGCAACACCTGCTCCACGCTAATGGGGTGCCGTTGGGTGGGTGACTTTAAGCTTTGCCCAACCAACAGTAACATGACGGAGCATGGAGATGCAGCCTGAACACTGCCCCGTCTGTGCTACCTGCAGCCCTCGCAGTCCCGCTGCTGCCAGAACACCTGAAGGACCTACATTGTTTTTGGCTTTGATGTCCACCCCTCTCCGGATCAGCTCCTCCATCCTGGCCGTGTCATTACGCTTCGCGGCATCGTGGAATTCTTTCTCCGAGCAGAGCACTGAAACGCAAGAGAGGGTCACACGTGGGAGCCATTCAGACACGGATGCTTTGCAGCTGCCAGAAGTAACCTGCCCCTTGCTCACCTCTCCCACTCATTCATTTAACTCTGACACATCTTTGAGGGGGGGAATTCCAGAGCCCGGTACTTCCCGCTCCCCTCCAGACACCTGCAGACACAAAATGCCCTGCCTTCTTACCCACCTGCGTCTTAGTGAGCACGTTATCTGGCCCCACCGGGTTCTTAGTCATGGCAAATTGATTTAAATCATGATTTAAATCACTGGTCAGGAAGCCTCGAGTTAGACTCCCTAGGCCTGACGAAAGGTGACTGTGCCCGAAAGCTTGCTAAGAACTTCTTTCCAACTACTCAGTTTGTCAAATAAAAGATCCGACATCTACCCAAAGAACCTGGCCTGCCTTGAGTTAACCGTTGTTTTCTACAAAAAGTGCATTCTTTCTGTTTGATAGCTTTTACTCATTTCACTTTTTGAAACTTTGCACTCTTAGAGAAAGGTAAGGGTTTGACCATATGTTTGCAAACTTGCAGAAATAAGAGGGCTGACGGGTGGGTAATCAGGTCTGTTATCTCTCATCTCCATACCCTGCTGTTAACAAGGACGTGATCTCTAGAGACACAAATCCGGTTTGAGAACTGAAACTAAGCATCACAGAGATGCTTAATGGGATCTTCTAGACTGAGCACTGGGTCCCATTGGGTAGAGTGGTTTTCTTGAATCTTTACTAATCTATAGAGGGGCCTCTGGGAACCCCGTAAGATTGGGCCCCTAATATAAATAGGACACAGCAGGCCGCGGACTATAACACTTCTAAAGAGGTTACATGAATATACTGTCCCAAACAGTATATAATTAGAAGTTATAATCCCTATCCCATGATGATATCTTTGAGCTTTAACACATCTTAAATTAAAACTATATATAGGTTTATTGTTTAAAACAAGCATCTTAACAAAAAAAATAAAAAATACAATTAAATAAAGCTGATTTAAATAAAAAATCCAATTTTTTAGATTAAAGAAAAAAAATGTTGCTTTTTAGCCACCTTCCTAAGAACACAATCCTTCCTCCTGCCCATCCCAGCACACTCCCCCTCTGCTACTTGTGACTTTACTCTGGAACAAGCCTACTTCCCCCATTTAAATGAGGCATGGGGACCTCATATAACTGGCCTGAGGTCACGCAGCAAGTCAGTGGCAGAGGTGACCCCCACCCAACCCAGACACTTCCCCTCCTTTAGGTCGTGTTCAGTGCAGCGAGCAGTGTCTGGGGTTAGGGCTTCTCTCGTAGACCCTGCTTCTAACGGTCTGCAGCTTTACCAAGCGTTAGGAATTTGCCCTGAGATGTTCCACACGGTGGAGGAGCATCACAGCCTGAGCTTTCGAGTTGTGAGAATGAAGTTAGGGAAAAAATATTTGGGCAGGTTCAAAAACAGACATTTTTGCAACTGCTTCATTGCTAAGAAGCTTGGACACCTCCAGGCCTTTGCAGAAGGGGCTTGACATTTACCACGGTGCTTCCGCGGGGTCAGGGATGTGACTTTTAGCACGTGATCTGCCTTTGAATGCACTCACGTTGCTAAAGGTTGTGTCGGTGCACACATGCCAAGAGCTGGATTCAGATCACACAGGCAAGCCTGGCCCATCCTAAATTCAGAACGGTTGAGCTTGCGACTTTGTTCCTTCGAAGCCCGGTATTATAGGTCGAGGGTCTGGTTCCTATTTACACCCTCTTCCAAGCCTGTTGATACAGCCAGAGCAATGCAAAGGGGCCTTAGTGTGAGAATGTTGCATCCTCTTAATCAAATGTCTTAATTAATATCTATGGTGAGCCTGAGTCAGCAAAGTAACATCACCTACAGAGGTTATTTCCCAATCTCCTACAATAGCTAGTGATTAGTTTTTATATGCTATATTCCTCTGAATGCAAGATGCCCTTGAAGATGCACCCACATTTTCAGGTTCTCAACTTCAAGAAAATAATCACACGACACATTTCCAAGGATGCAACTTCTGCAGGATCTATACGGGCTTTTTACTTTTCAGAAGAAATATCTGGTTGCAAAAAGCCCACCTTGTATTTGAAGGAATATGGGAAATTAATGAAGGACTACTTTGAACACCACCGCTGCTGAGAAAAGCAGCGCTTCCCCTGCACAGCTAGAAGAGATCGAAGAGGATTTACTAGTCAGCGTGGGCACGGTGTTAGCTCATTTTACCAGCTCCCTGCTTTACTGGAGAAACCTCCCTCCTAACAAGTGAAAACCAGCCCCCATCTCCTTGCAGCGAAGCTGGCAGCGTGGCTTTAGCGCTGGATTTATGTCAAGACATTGTTGGCCACCCCCATCCAGCAGGTGCTTTCTCTTTTATCGGGTCCTGTTTCTGTTCCAGCCTGTTCGGTGCGATGCCTCCGACAGGCGATTAATTCAGACACGAGACTTGCGCATCTGCCTATGGATCCTGCGCGACACCCCTGCGCTCTGCTAGTTTTCCTTTCCCCTCCCGACTCTAGCGAGCACTACGGAGGGATGCTCCCTGCCATTCACGAGCCGGAGAGCTCATTTTGCAACGTGGATTTTGCTCACTAAGCTTGCTCCCTAGGGGCTAGGCCATCGATCGCCTCCAGCATCATCAACCAAGGGGACAGGGAATCCCTGGTTGAGGATAAGACTCCCCTCGCGTGCCTTTTCCACAAGCTCCGCACCCCCTATAAAGGGACCACAGGAAGACAGTGAAGAAGATGCAGGATCTGGGGTTTATGCTGGCCGAGTCTCCGCACGCAGTCCCTTGCACGCTAACGATCATACGAGATGCCAGGACATCCATGCGGCGGGCGCAAGACCCACGCTCACAGCCAGCCAACAACTGCTCATCCCTGCTCCCCTAAACACATAAGCTTCTGATGCTAGAGGTTTCCCTGCCCAGGCAGAGCGCTCCGGCAGAAATCTCCCTGGCAGGACACAATCTGGGCTTGTGATTTCACATGCTCCTCCGGATCTGGCCCCTCACTCCCAAATGGGTTTAACCTGGACGGTGGGAATGAATCTTCAGCCACAGTTAACAGATCCTTCTCCATCGCCCCTGTCCTTCTCTCCTCCCCACAATCAGGAAATGCATTTCAGCAAAGAGAGAAAAGCAGGAGGAGGATCCCACAGATGTGAAGAGCCAATATTTACTTTTTCAAGAACTGGCTCGGAGATGTGTGACGTTTCCAGAGATGCACACACTGCATAGGGCTGCGGCCGCCTTTGCTTTGGGGAACAGCTCCAGGGGCAAAGCTGCCTAAGCGTTGGGTTTCCTTGCACGCGCTGCTGTTAGCTGAGCCAAATACAGTCAGATCTCAGCTCCCGCACCGAGTCTTCACGTGGTTCTTAATTCACACTTTTTTTGTTTTAATCAGACTTTCAAAGGCAAACGTGGATTTCTAGTTCCCCCTTTCCCCAAGATAAGGCTCACTTTTCTCGCAGCAAGCGGCACGAGCCAAAGAATAAAATTACAGGAAGACTAAACTACGTGACCTCAACGGCGAAAACCCTAGAAGGGGGGTGTCTAACCTGCACTATGGGTGCCACGAGTGGCATGGGGCAGACTGGGCAAGGGACAGGCATAGTGCCAGATGGGGCAGGGAGCAGACCGTCAGATCAGACAGGGAGCCCTGGGCAGGAAGCAGAAAGCAGAGCAGCAGACTGGGTCTGGGAAAGGGACTGGAGTGGCACTCAGCCAGAGCGCAGGGCTAATTTATAGCATGCCTGGCAAAAAGGTTGGTGCCCACTGCCCTAGAAAATAGCTAGAACAAGCATACGTGGGATGGTTACTTAGCCGCACAATCCTTGCCCTCGAAAGATGAGCCGCTGGCCAGCGAGGGATTACCTCTGCGAGGCACTCCCACGCATGAGCCGACTTGCAGAACGGGGCATCCTATTTGTAAAAAGAAAAGTGTAACGCATGCCTTGCACAGAAGTGGCCACGAGCAATACTCCTCCGCTCAGGGAATATCAGAGGTTGAACCGAGCTCGCCAGGGTAGCGTTATCCAGGATTCGTTCTGTTTGTTCAGCTATCACCGAGACGGTCACGCACGGCTTTTAATAACATCCGATTTCTCTTGTATCTACAGACAGACCCAAATTCTTAGACTTCTGCTTTCATCGTATCAGTTAAATGTTTGGTCACAGCTTTCTGCGAGACAACAGGAACCTAAGGTAAGAGAACAGCTGTTGCCAAGAGCTGTCACATGCTAAAGCTAACGAATATTGCATTAGTTGCCTGCCATCTGTTACCACTTAATGTGCGGTAGGCAAGGTGTCTCGAACAATGTTCACACACTTCAGTCACCAGGAACACAGAGGCACGCATGCGGATTGTGCCGAGTCTCGTTTCCTTGGAAAACGAGCAGTGTAATTTCCTCCGCAGACTACAGCAGGTGTGCAAAATGCTCACCACTGACATCCAGGCACTTAGCAGTACACAGGGGTGTATACGTTTTTTTGGAGGCAGCCCGCATGATCGAAATCTGTTGTATTTCCATAGAAAGATCTACCTAAGCGAGCACAATATATGCAGGAGTTCTTAAAGTAATTGAAAAGACCAGTGGCTATATCAGGGGTGGGCAAAATGTAGCCCAGGGGCCAGATGCAGCCCGCCAGGTCATTCTCTCCAGCCCACAGGACCCCTAAAAAAATATAGAAAATTAATATATCTCTGCCACTGGCTGCCTGTCATGTGGCCTTCAATGGCTTGCCAAAACTCGGTAAGCGGCCCTCCGCCGGAAATAACTGCCTGCCCCTGGGCTATATCATAGCAGGACACCTACCAGGCCAATACAGCTGCATCTGACTCCCCTTGAGGGATTCAAGGGATCTGTTTAAGTAATTTGTGTCCATAAGATGGCAAACTCGGCGTGGGGTGGGGGGCGAGGGGCAAGGCAGTGTCACCGCTGCGTGGCACTTAATGTAAAGCATTGCCAAACCCACCTGCAATCCTCCCAGCCGCCAGCACCACCTAACCAAGACTTTCCGTCCAGACGGGCACCACGAACACGTGTAATTGTGGAGCAGCTGCGCCCCGCAGGGCCTGGCTCCACTGACGGCAATGAGATTTCAGGCACTGACTTTAGCAGCAGAAGCAGAATTGCATGCATGCAGCCGTAGCCTGTTAGAGGAGGTCCAGCTCCGGGGCAGCGTTTTCACACCACCCAGCAACACCAGCAGTAATGAGAACGATGCACATAGCTTACAGGAATGAGGAATGCAGGCGGTTTCATGTGCAATGTTCATTTCCGCCGATCAGAATAACAACTCGCCTAGGTCGCCGCTGATCTGGAGTGGCAGAGCTGCATTCTCGCATTTTAGGAAAGCAGAAAGTCTCGTCTCTGATTAGTCAGAAGATGCCCAGCAGCCACTGACTCATTCAGACTGCAGAGAAATAAGCCTTTTCTCCCAAGATCCCCAGTTCAAACCACAGCTCCGGCTGCAGTGGCTGGAACGTATTACTGGACTGGGTACGAGAAAAATGCCCGTAGGATTCAAATCAGCACCGCAAATGCCATTTTCATTACTGCACCCACTTGGGCAGCAAAGTTTCCTGCATATGGAGTACCTCCCTCAGCATTTTTTAACATTAGACTTGACAGTGCCTGGCATTCAGAAATATAAATTCTGCTACACTAAACCAGGTACAAAATAATCTGAATGATTTCTCATCAGTGCAATGCATCACCTTGAAGTTACTTTGCAAGGGATACTTAAGAACAGCAAAGGACAGTCCCATGCAAAAAAGGTAATAAATAAGAAATCATACTGGGACACAGAATTGATTATGGCTACTCCAACCTCCAGTGTGTTTTCATACCTTTGTGCTGGCCCCGGAGGAAACGTCCACAAGAATGCAACCAAAATCTATCAATCTATCACTGACAACAGTGAGGAAGATGAATTGTAGTATTACAGAAGCGCATGCTGTTTCACAAGAAAATAAAAACAGAAGTGGTGGCTCCCTGTCTAGGTTTTACAAAACTTACTTATGAATTTTATGGTTTAGTCTGTTGTTTTGTTCCTGGTGATTTGCTCCACTTGTAAAAGTACTGAAAGTCACTTGCTTCACCAGGATCCAAAACCATCCCTCCCCCACCCCCAGGCGAAAACTAACCTTTCCTGGCTTTGCTAACCAAGCGGAGGGCGATGCAAACACCAGGCAATCAAAAAGGTATTATGCAAGGTAAATCAGATGCTTCTAAGCCTTTCTACTTCGATACCTCAGCACGGTAATAATGCAGTTTTATCATTTCCTCATTTGCGACAGCAGGGCAGACACTGCCTGGGCTAACAAAAATGAATCCACTAGCAGGCAAGAGGTGCAGGCAAGCCTCCCTTAGCAGGGGAGAACTGAAATCCAGGCTCCACTCCTTTCAGAGTTATTGTCTCATCCTCCGTGGTTTCCAGCCATATGCCGGGCATTACGTTGCCCCGCTGTCTTTGTGTCACCCTTCACGCAGCACGCAGAGAGCACGCTGTGTCTGCAGGGGGTACTCTACACAGCATGCAAACATTGGACCATATTTCTAACTCCTATAAAGATAAAACCAGTGTTTTGGAGTAACGCGTTGCTTGCTCGACTCCAGGAGCCAAGCTCTGCTCCAAGGCCCCCGAGTGGACAGAAAACCTGGAGCGGCGTTAGCCAAGCGCTGGCTTGGATTTCTGCAGGTGTGACCGAAAGCAGAATATCTGAAGAGCTGGTTTGAGAGAGCATCAGACACCTGACAGCAGAGAAAGTCCCCAGCTTTAAGCCTAAATCCACCCGGTGCGAACTCGATCTAGCCGGGAAGATGTCACATAGGACGGGCTTAGAAAAACTCACCTTGGCAGGTTTGCAGCTAAAGTCACGCTGCTCTTGCAGAGGTGGATGGAAAAGCAGGGATACGGGAACAATAACAGCCCCGCTCGCCTGCTCGTCCCTGCGCTCCCCCAGGCCCAGGTGACCCAGGCCTTGACAGGGTCTTACCGCCTTCACCCTGGGGAAGCTCCCAGGGCCAGGGATCAAGGACCCCCGACGGCCGGGCCAGGCAGACGGGGCCGCCGGCCACTATCCTGCTTCCCTGGTTCTCCTTGGGGCACCCATCTCAGGCATGCGTGTGCAACGATAAGGGTGCGTGCATGTGGACATGTGTGTGCATGGACGTGCGTCTGTGTACATAGACCAGGGGAGCATGCTCAGATAGGCACGTGTGTGCATTGCCAGGCGTGTGCACGGCAGGGTGTGCATGCACCGATGAAGGGGTGTGCATGCCCCGGTATGTGTGTGCGCGCGCGGACTCTGTGGGTGTGCACGGCGACGTGTGTGCACACACCGGGGTGTATGTGCCCAGCTGGGTGTGCGCATGCCAAGACTGGGGCGTGGTGCGCGTGTGTCTGGCTGGGTGCATATGTACAGCTATGTGTGTACATGGCTGGGTGTGCGCAAGTGCACGGACCAGGGTGTGCGCGCCCAGGTGTGTGCGTGTGTCACCGTGTGTGTACGTGCATGGACCAGGGTGGGTGTGGGTGTGTGTCTGCACGGCCCAGGGGGTGCGTGTGCCCGCCCGGCACCGTCCCTCGCAGCCGCAGCCCCTTGCCCCGCCCGCGGCCACTCACGCGTGTCATCCTCGG